CCATCCATTTTCCAGCAATATAAGAAACAAGTAACACAAAGAATATTGAATAACCACCGCCATTAGAACGAAAATAATAAAATTCAGAGACAGCAGCACCAAGTGATGTAAATATCTAGAAAGCAAAGTTACAAATTATAATCTTGAAAAGCGAGTAATTTTACATGGACTAACATTGTAAAAAAAAACGTATTTACAGTGCTTAATATCCAAAATCGAAATGTAGTACAAGGTAGAGATGGATCATCTTTTACACTGACTGCCTAAATTTTAAAGTTATTTTCGATTTAAAAATTGGGACCGATAATAATTAAACATGACTAATTACCGCAGCCACCATAGGTATGGGAGAATTCTCTAAATTTTCCGAATCTATTGATTTGCGATCTTCCAACAAAAATTCATTGTCTTCAAGTTCTCCAATACTAGTTCGATTTCTTAAACCATAATCAATATTATCCGAGGATTTATTAGATATTTCTGATAGTTCAAATTCGCCTTCTTCAGTTGAATGATTTTCTTCAAGTCTTAAATATTTATTTTGAGACATCTCACAGACTTTGAGGTATTTTATATAATGTAAAAAAGAGAAAGTGAGTTTTTATTGTTCATGGTTTGTTTTTTTTTAAGTGTATAATGATTAAATTGGGACAATTAAGGAGTTTTCATCTATTTATATTGCAGAATTTAACTTTATATGGTTTAGAAAAGTGTAACATTCCTAACGCAGGAATCAAGATACTTTTGCGTGTGTGGCGCATAAAAATTAAAGTGAAAGATACCGATACCGATACGGTAACTGTCAATGGTTTGTCAATTTGGTCAATTTTTCAAAGTTAATGTTTATACGTACGTATTAGGGTTAAATGTTAAGAAGATGTATACGTAGTAAAATAATACAGAAAAACTTTTTACGTGGTAAAGCACTAAAGGTGGTTTCTTATGTAGATTTTTTTAATTGACATATCGATATCGATTTTAATTGATTTAACTATTTTAATTGCTTTCAAATCAATTTTGTGTACATATCGGCTGATCTGCACGGTCCATAAGAAATATAAAAACCAATTAGTTATAATTCCGGCCAAAATTATTGATCATTTGACCAGATCTGAAGTAAATAATATTTGACCAAAGTTGACCGGAATTATAACTCATTGGTTTTTATATTTATTAGACAAGCGCTTGCTTTTCAAATTCAAATTTTCAATTTGGGTTTAAACTATAGATGCTGGTGAAACTAAATAACGTTGGTGAAACTAGTGACTATCTAAAATCTGATTGGCTATTATATTAAATTTCACCAGTTTCACCAGTTTCACCACCATTCACTAAGAGTTTCACCAGTTTCACCAGCATCTATAGTTTAAACCCTAAACTCATACAGGGGAATCCCCCAAGATCACTATAGTCGGCTGATAATTTTGCTATAGACTACGTACTGGTACGTTAAACCGTATCGCTAACTGGGGATGGACTAGGAAAAACCACTTGCTTTCAGATAGTGTAAATGCGAATAGATTAGTGGAGCAACCAAAATTTAGCAGATCGACCAAAATTTAGGGTCGGAATTGATAAAATTTTACATCCCCAGATGATAATTCTGTAGTATAGTTGGCTTGTATTATTGCACCACTTAATCTATCCCCAAATGCCCTGTATAAGATTTGAAACTTATAAGAACTTGATTTTTAGGTATCATCATTGCCGCAAGCAATGTAAAATTATCATAGAAAACAGCGACAGTAAATTTTTCACGAACTCAGATTACCGTAGAAACAACAGATACGCATAATTTGTAATTACCGGTATATAGCATAGAATTCTGATAATCATCGCCGCAGAAAATCGTTGACCCTGGTTTTCGAAATAAAATTTTGAATAAACGTACCGGTAATTAAAAAAAATGACTGAGAATGGAAGCAAACCAGAAAAACTTTTTCAAGATATTGGAGAGATTGTTCAAGAAGATAATGACGACGTGAAACCTACAGAAATTGAAAGTTATTGCATGAATTGTGAACAAAACGTATGAAGCTTTATAAATTTGAAAATTATAATAACCAGAGGTTTAATATCTATTAACATTCTTTTTTTTTTCATTCAAAGGGAATTACAAAATTATTATTAACAAGAATTCCACATTGGAGGGATATTGTGATCATGAGTTTTGATTGTGAGGTATTTATTCAATTCATCCAATTTAAAATTTTATGAACTACTAAACAGAATTCAAAGAACACAAAGTAAGAATTCAAAGTAATAAGGATTTCCAAACTTGTTTAGCATTGCAACTTCAATAATAATGAAGTTCAATTTGCAGGAGTAATTGCTGAGAAAGGTTGTGAGTACATATGTGAAATTAACAATAAAGATGATCTTAATCGTCAACTGGTGAAATCAGAATCAGCATCTATCAAACTTCGAGAACTTGATCTAGAAATACCCGCAACCACAAAACGGGGCCGTTTAACCACGGTTGAAGGAGTGATAACTAGTATAATTGAAGATTTATCATCAGGACAGCCTGATAGAAAGCTTAATGACGAAGATACATATAACAAGATTGAAGCTATAATAAATAAACTTAATGATTATTTGGATAACAAAGAAAACTTTACTATATCAGTTGATGATCCTAGTGGAAACAGGTAAGAGGTTAGCAATTGAAATCAAGTATTTATAAAATAATCATAGACTGACCTTTTTAGACTACAGTTATATCGAAAATTTGGTTGTACCTAATCCAGATCCTAAACTTCATATTCGACATTATGACCGAACGCGTGAAATGGATATTGCATTAGGATTAACAATTCCTGATGAAGCAGAAGTTCATGATGAAGCTCATAACGAAGAAGATGATGAGGTTGTCCCAGAAGTTATGACATTCCCTGCTAATTGTTCACATTGCAACGCGCCTAGCGACACGAAAATGCATATTGTGAATATTCCGCATTTCAAGGATGTAGTGATAATGTCAACTACATGTGACGTAAGTATTCGGTTAATTTGGAGAACAAATGTATATAATAATAATAATATCTAATAATAATAATAAATATATATATATAAATATATTGTTGAAAAAATAGTCATGCGGGTACAAATCAAACGAAGTCAAAGCTGGTGGAGCAATTGCACCTAACGGTAAAAAAATTACGCTCAAGATGGAAGATATTGAAGACCTATCACGTGATATACTTAAGTCAGAAACATGTAGTTTAATAATTCCTGAAATTGAACTTGAACTTCGCTCAGGCACACTTGGAGGACGATTTACCACAGTTGAGGGGTTATTACGGCAGGTTCATGAAGAACTTCAAGACAAAGTTCCATTTGTTAGTGGGGATAGTGTAGAAAATGATCGTAAAGCATCGTTTGAAAAATTTTTGGCCAAATTAAATAAAGTAATTACAGGAGAAGCTTTACCAGTTCATTTGGTACTTGATGATCCACTTTCCAATTCATATTTACAAAATCCTTATGCACCAGGTAATGAACATTTAAGAATAATTGATAAAAGAATTATTGTATTAATTGATTTATTGTATTAATTAATTTATTGTATTAATTAATTCATTGTAATAATTAATTCATTGTAATAATTAATTCATTGTAATAATTAATTCATTGTAATAATTAATTCATTGTATTAATTAATTCATCGTATTAATTAATTCATTCTATTAATTAATTCATTCATTCTATTAATTAATTCATTCTATTAATTAATTCATTGTATTTGATAGATCCGGATCCGAACATGCAAATAGAAACATATGAAAGAAGTTGGGAACAAAATGAATTTCTTGGATTAAATGACATTGTAGTGGATAACTATTAAAAAAATAAAAAATAAAAAAAAAATAAAAATTGAAAGATTTATTTTATTTTTTTGTACATGATATATTTTTAAATTCATATAACAGAAAATAATCTAATGATAATGACATTTTGCAATATATGTACAATTGATATAATTGATATGGACCAAATGAATTAATGAGACAAAAAGGAATAAATTCAATAATTTTAGAGTTTAATGTCATGAATTTTTTTTATGTAAATCTTTTTCATAATTCGTTTCACTATCAGATTTACTATCTAAAGGTTTATTTGCGTGATAGAAATAACGTATGACGCCGACCACAACAAAGCAAATTGTTGATACTCTAAATAGAAGAGGGATATGTTCATTTGGAGTATTAATATTGCAAGAACTTGATAGATTTTCGTCAGCTTGTAGTTTATTAATAGTTGGAACGATTCCTATAAAGACAGAGTTTGTAGGTTTCAATATTTCTGAGAGGGTTTGAGCTTGTACTTGGTTTTGAGAACTGTTTAGATTCAAGGTTGGAATAGCATAAGAAGTTTTCAAAACTTTTTTCCTTCCAGTGGTTGGATATCGACGACTAAAAGGTTGGCCTGGTGGAACATAATGAGGGTGAAAAGGAATCTGAATCGTTGAAGCATAACACCGATTACTTAAACCTTTAATAATTAAGTTCTTTGTTAATTTTTGTTTTTGAGAGCAAAACATTTTTAAAAAATTTAGGCATTTTGATATATCCAAAGTGATTTAATAATATAACTTGTAATAACTTTTTTTTTTCAAATCCATTTGATATTCTAAAAAAATTAGAGTTGATCAGCATTTGTATCGCTATAAATAACCATAACAATGAGCAAAAATTAACCTGAAATGTAATGCTGACAAATTATTCTAAATAGAATTAGATTTTCTAGATTTTCTGAATAACGAATCGCAACTAAATTATTATTAATTCTCTTAACTCTAACGCTGCATTCATGACCTCTTCTTTGTTATTCAAATATATTTGTGAATGGACGAGAAATTATCTAAGAAACAATATAAGGTACGTACTGTACGTACTTACAACGTATTATTTTCTTATGAAACAATTTTTCGGTATATTTATGTTTCATTAACGTTAAGAACTTTAATATGTACCTACATATCTGATATGTACTGCGGGTTAACAGCCGTAAAGGGGATTGGCACATACCAATATACATTTTTGGGATAACTTGAGAAAATTTTTACAACATTTGTACATACGTACGTACGTTTTTAAATACGTAGACATCGAAGGTTTCGCTTTGACCTTTTATGAGTGTTTTAATCTAAATTTGTTAATATTTTTAAAGAACCATCGAGAAAGAATTTAGTATCATGTGAATGTTATGCAAGAGGCGATATATGTACGCAGTGTTGTACACGGGGCAGTTGGGACAAGATTGAAACAAATATTCTTTCAGCTCTTAAAAGATTAATTATAATTTTTAAGCTTACATACCAACTATTATATACTGCATATCAA